AGACCCAGATCTCTGGCTTACAACTAGATCTAGTACTTGGCCTAGTAAGAACTATACACTACTGACATCAATAGCAATTATTTTACTTATAGTACCTACAGACTATAAATTAACTCTTACTATAGCATCATACCAAATACTCAATACTTAGAAAACATTAATTAGTGATGGTTATAATGCAAAATACAAAATAGGCAAACAAAAAGACTGGCTACTATGGCTACTAATATATACATTCTTTCACAAAAAACAATTAGAAATTGATATAGAAACCTCTACTATACCTCCTATAAGAACCTGAAGCCTATCTACAGAAGTAACATTCAATTTTGACTAGACTAGATATGATACCTTCTATCTTCAATAGCAAAACAATACTATCATATATCAATCTAGATGTTTTATTAGACATATAAACAATGCTACTCATTTAGCAGAGTGGTACACACAAAACAGAATACAACCATGAGACTCACACAAAGAAGATATCAACTGAAAAGCAGTATTCGAAAATATCAACTATAACTGCTTACCAACTAGTAGAAATACTAATTCAAAATACTCTATGATGAAAGCATTTAAAATAAAACTACTATTAAATGAATTAACAGTCGCAACAAACCTTAACAAAAAGAACCTGCAGAAATACAAATTACCTCTTTATGCAAGGTGCTGCAATAAACCAGAAAATAACTGGCACTAGATGGTATATTCAAAAAATACTACTTCACTAGAATATATCACAAACAAGTATATCAGAACTCTATTTAAAAACAACATACAACCAGAAATTATATGAGAAATACAAGAAATAATACTTAACAACATTCTCTACAATGTACAAATCTAAAGCTTAGATTCAATTAAAACAACACATAAATTCATCTCTAACATACTATCACAAAAATTAATATCAAGTGATAGTACTTCCATAGCACCAAAGGTGAGCAAACTCATTTATAAATTACAAAAAGAAATATATTACAAGATCTGAAAACTGAGATGCCAGGAATAGCATACTCCTACTATGGAAACCAACATAGATTATCAAATACAAATATATACTACATAAGAAATGAATATAACAGATACACTAAACAAATAGTCTAGGCAACAATATATAGAAAACAAGCTAACAAACTGGTCAAAACTATTTATTACCTCAAACATATTCTCTATTATACTTGCATATATAACAAACTAGACAAGGTCTTGGTCTCCTCTAGTAAAGAGCCTAGGCCAGAAGTAAACTAGCTCTAGCTTTTAGTTTAAAGTAGATAGACAATATATAACCTTATAGTGAAATACAATATAATCAATTTATTATCTAATAAAAAACTGAAGCAAGACCTTCCTCATAAAAAAATAAAAATAAAAAATAAAAAAAAAAAACTATGAAAACAAAATATTCTCATGCATTCTTTAAAAAATTAGATGATATCTTTAAAAATAAGATTCCTAACTTTTTTAATCAAATTGATCTATGAATTTTACAAGAAGTTCAATTCTATGTTCAAGATAAGAATTACTTAGCCAATTATCATAATAAAAAAAACAACTCTTTTGATGCATTCGTAAAAGTTATTGACTAAGGTCCAATTTCTTAGAATGTTTACTGAGATTTAGCTACACTCTAACCAGAATTACTACAAGATTATAATATTTCAGATACAAGAAAAAAAATAAATGAGGAAATGAATGAAAAAATTCCTATTACTGTTTTAAATATTAAGAATATATCTCTTATAACAACTAATGAAATGCTTCATATTAATAATCAAGGCATTGAAGAGGAGATATTTCAATATATTAAAAAAGCCGAATACAGATAAATTATAGATATTTTGCTCTTCATAATTCCAGGTCTTATTGAAAAAAATATTCTTAGTACAAAGAATTCAGTAATTCATATTCGTTTATCAGATAGAAGTAAATGTTTTTAAAAAAACCTAAAAAAAAACTAAAACTAGTATAGCTCACTTTATTAACAATCATTTTACTGACAGCTTATTTAGCTCAACATTACAAGGGTTAGAATTAATATTTTATTAGTTGTTCAAATATATATCTAGTAAATTATCATTTGGTACGATATTGGCTAAATAAACTATCAGTGAAATAATTGTTAGTAAAGTAAAGCAGACCTATTTTAAATAAAGATATTTAAGTTGTTTTTTTACTATACCAAATATCAGAAGATAGCTGCAATGTTAGTAGAAAAATTAAGCACATTATGATAACGTGTACTATTCTAAATAATATTTCAAATATTCACAAGGCTGACTCACACCATACTATAATTCTATATTCAGAAGATGAAAACTATGAGATGTTGCACTAAGTAATAGAACTATTAATTAGCAAACTGTATAGTTTAATAGTAAATAAATTAGAAGATTCTAATAGAATTAAATAGAAGGTTAATTTATATTTCAGCAGTAATTAAAAGTTCATGGTTACTATATTAGAATTTAATATGCTTAATACTAACTGTTTTTGTTCTTAATGCCTATGTATGAAGAAAGATATTGGTAATAAAAACAAGGTATATAGAATTGAAAAAGGCATAGATCAACTTAAAGAAGAATTCTTTAAAAACAATATTTTAACTTTAAATTTACCACTACCTAGACATCTTAATCCTCCTCTTCTTCTAATGATACCATTAAATCATTATATACTCAATGAACTTTATATAATGTTAAGAATTTGGGATCAGCTTTGGGAGTTAGTAATCTAAGAATTAAAGTCTGAAAATAGATACGATAATTATATTAGAGCAATTATAAACACAGAAATGAAAAGAATTTTAGTTAGCTTTCAATTTAGCAGAATCATAGTATGCAGAGTTGGTTCTACACACCTCTTATAGGAGGTGATAAAGAAAAAGTTTTGTATAATTTTAATTTTAAAGTTATTTTTAGCAAAGAAAGAGCTACATTAATTAACTATCTGTGAAGAAACTTTTATTCATTTTACAAGCTTATGAATGATTAAGAAACAGATTCAACTTTTTTCACTACCAAAGCAAGAGAATAGCTAAACTTATTCTTCATACTTCACTAAGAGGAACCAAATACTATGTCTTTTAAAAAAAAATTATATCACTCCAAGGATGTTACACTATATATACATATCTTGACTAATCATCTACTAGAATTTATAGAACAACATAAGCATTTCAGCTTGGCAGCATTTTCATATACTACTATTGAAAAAAAAATCATAACCACATATTCACATTTTTCAAAAAAATAATAAAGGATAGTGGTAATAGTATGAACAAAAAGTCTGCAATTTTTGAAATTCTTAGTTATGAAAATCATTTATTATATTTTAACCAAAAATCAGATTCTAATCGAGCTTATAAACCTCAATATCTTCATTTTAAGGAAAATATTGAATTTTAATTTCATTTTGATGTCACAAGTACCCTCTTCCTATTCCTATTGTTTTAAAAGAAGCAGTAAGTTCTAATACATTTTTAACACTATTCATAGTATTATTCTACACTTCATTAGCAGTTTTAATGTATTGTATAGTTATTATAGTATTTTACACAATAATTTAGATGCTATAATAAATTTTACTAGAATTTTAAAACAATAATTTTACTATTTGTAAATGTCTAATTTTCATAGTTGATAAATATATACAACTTACTCTCATTATAGTGAAGTTTTAGAATAAGAAATAAAATCTTCACTATAGCTTATATCGAGAGAATAGTGAAGATTCGATATAATGAAGAATTTTGAATTCTGAAATATTAAACTTTAACTCAATATAGTGAAGTGCATATAATATAATGAGAGTTTACTATAACAAGAATGAGTTGAATTTATGAATAGAATATTTTTTGTACATTACTATGATTTATTATTGTTACAATATATTATGAGTATTGCTACCAAGGAAAATAAAATTGAGCTTTCAAGTTTGTTATTTATTATTTGATGAAACTAAAAGCCCCAAGTCTCATTTTCCTTGGCAGTACTCTTATCTACTATAGTATTACTATTTTTTTTTTCTTTTTCA